CGCAGCCTCGGGGGGCGGCTCCCTGTGGGGTGGGGCCTGCGGCCGCAGATTCCACTTCTGCTCAGCGGGGAGCTCGGCTGCCCCTCGGGGCGGGCGGGGGCTCCTTCCCTTCCTGCCTCCAGTGCGTTTCCTGCTGCTGTTGCCGCGGGAGAGGTCAGAGGCCACAGCGGACAGTCGAGCCAAGCTCAGGGCGGACGCCGCGGGGCTGACCCTGGGCGGTGCCACGTGGGAGAGGCGGCTGCAGAGCCTGCCCTCGCGGGACCCCCTCCACGCCTCCCCCCACACAGCTCCCGCGCGCCCAGGTGAGGGAGGACGCCGGCTATGGGGTGACCACGGCCTTCCCCGCACACCAGGTCCTTGCCTGGACACTCCAGGTTGTTCCCTGCCTGTCCCCCGGGCCTCTGGCACCGGAACACCCCCTCAGGCCTCCAGCATAGGCCCCCCCAGGCTTGCGGCACCAGGATCCTGCAGGGTTCGGGCACTGGCCCCCCTAGGCCTCCAGCACCGTCTCCCCTAATCCTCTGGGGCCGCCCCCTCACCCCCCCAGCCTCCAGCACGGCTCTCAGGAAGGGCCCTGCCTCCTGAGCTCTGTCCTGGCGGGGACCCAACCTCACCGCGCGCCGAGGTGCCTGGTCTCGTCCCACCGAGTTTCTGCAGAGAGACCCGCTGGGTTACCCCAAACTCCAGCGGAAGAGACGCTGCGCTCCAGGCAAGCGCCCCCCGATTCTGGGTCCGTGGCATAAGCCGTGGTACTTCCGCGACGTGGACAAATAAACCCCCAGTCCCTGGCTGACCGGGCTGGGCCCCTGGCCTCGGCCGTGCTGCGCCTCTCCCTGGCGCCTCGAGTGCAGACAGAGAGCCGGGCTTGTCTGGCGTCCCCGGGGCAGGCGGCCGGCCGGGGTGGGCAGTGCCCTTCCTGGCGGCCCCGGTCTGCGCGCGGCGGGCTTGGGGGGCTCGACTGGGCCTCTTGGGGGACCCACACTGGGCCCCCTGGTGGCGCGTCCCCCTGGAGCTGGCTGGGGCGTGGGGTCCCCATGTGGTTTCGTGCCCCCTGACGCTTCCGTGACCGGCTGGAGCCAGGCGGGGGCTGCGACCGGGAAGCGGGAGCCCCACCGGCCCCGCAGGAGGACCCGGGTCTGGGGACGGGGCTCTCCGGCCACCCCCAGCCTGCCTGCCCCGGCCCTGTCCTCCGGGAAGGGGTGTCCGGCGAGTCTTTAGACTCCCCCAGACTGTGCTCTCCGCGAGGAAGGCCGCGGCAGAAGCTACGGAAAAGCCTGGAATGATTCCAGGCCCGAGTCTGGTTTCGGAAAGGGCCGGGGCGGACTCGCCGGGGCGGACTCGCCGGCCCGGACACGGAGCTGCTGGCGGGGTGCCGGGAGGTGGGAGGACCAGGCTGCCTGCTGGCTCCCCCTGTGCGTCCCCCTGGGGCTCGAGGGTGCGCAGGCAGGAAAACAGGGTGCATTCGCCCCAAAAGGAAGGACTTCTCCGGCTCCATGGGGGTGTCTGTGGCTCGTGATCCATCAAAGGCGCCGAGCAGGCCCCGCAGGACAGGCGTCCCGGCGCCCGGAGTGCCCCGTGCGCCCCCGGCCCTCGTGGGGAGCGCGTCCCCCGCCCGCAGCGGCGCCCACCCGCTGCCCCGCGCGTCCCCCGCAGCCGCCAGGGTGGGCGCCCCGGCCCCGCAGGCGCCCCAGGGAACAAAAGCGCCGAGAAACCTTCTCGTGGTTAAAACTTGATTTTTTTTTCCATTTATTTTTTTTATTTATTTTTTTTTTCCAAAACGATCCCACCGGCACTCGCAGCGCGGCCGTGGAGATTCCGTGCACCGTCCAGAAAGGGTCCCCAAAGCGGGACCCGAAACCCCAAAGAAAGTGCTGGGACGGGTCCCGAGCTCCCTGCCTCGCCCCCCGGCCGCCTCCGCCCTGCGGGGCTCCGAGCCGCCTTGGGGGGGCGGGCGCAGGAGGACACCCCCGGCGGGAGGTGCGGGCACCCCGGGGTCCCGTCCGGGGCGAGGGGGGCGTCTCTGTATCGCGTGAATACAAACATTTATAGGGTTATTTGTTTCTCCGTCTTACAGATGTACATTCAGACTATAGGGTTTGACAAAATACACTCTGTACTGGCCCGGCGCGCGGCCGGGGGCATGCGACAGGGCAAAGAAAGGGGTGAACGTCGGAGCTGAGCACAGGGGGGGCCCCCCGCGACTCCCCGGGGGTCCAGGCCTCGCAGGCCCCCGGGCGGGAGGGAGCCGGGGCGGCGGGCGCAGCCACAGCTTCCAAAGTATAAAAATAAACGCCAGGCCGTGTCCAGTGTGCCCTGGACATCATTAAAATAGCACATATTCGTGAGGTCTCAACCCAAAAAATAAATAACGCACGGACACGCGGCCGGGGCCCGGCGGGGCCCAGCGGGGCGCCCGCCCGCCCCCCGCCCCGGCCGAGGGCCCCGCCGGGGCAGCGCCGCCGCCAATAAATAGCAGGTTCCCGAGCTCGGAGACTCGACGTCCGGTACATTCGCTCACCGATTGCTCGTTAAATATCAAACTTCAATAGAACATTTCTAAATTGCATCACGTGTGCGCGGGCAAGGACGATGCAGCCTCTTCCCAAGCTAACGTCTTAATAAATTAGGCACCAGTTTTCAACCTGGGAGGCGGGTCCCCCCAAGCACCCCCTGCGGCCTCCCCGGGCGGGGACGGGGCGCGGAGCCTCAAGACCTCCCGGGCCGGGCCGCCCCCCGCCGCGCGGGCGTGTGAGGAGCACACGGGGGCACGGAAGAGGCTGTGGGGTCCCGGCAGCCCCCGCCACCCCGGCCTCGAGGACGCGGCGCGGCCCGGGGCCTGCAGGGGGTTGTCCGGTGACCCGACGCCCCCTGCCCGGCCGGGACGCCCACCCAGCCGCGCCTCTCGGTCTGCGGTTCTGCAAAGCCACGTCCGGCCCCCACGTGAGCCGGACGGAACCGAACCGGCCCCCCGCCCCGCAGGCCCGCGGCCGCCGAGGGGCCTGGAAGAACGTGTCCGGCGGCTCGTGCACCCCCAGCCCGGCCTCCCGGAGCCCCGCCCTGCCTCGGGGTCCCCCGCCGCGCCTTGCCCCTCGCGCTCTTTGGCCAACTTTGCAGAAGCAAGAAAACCCCTCCGGGCCCGGCCGGCCTGGCGTCGGCCCCGCGGATGTGGGCAGAGCAGGCGCCGCCCGGCTGGGTGGCCACACGCGGGCACGGCCGCCCCGAGGGGGCCTTCTGGGCCTCGGCCCAGTCAGCGGGCCTTCGCCGGGCCACCAAGCGCCCCCAAAGGCTCTTTGGAAAAGGATTGTGTTTTCCGCAGAAAGCACCGCCCGGCCCCCTGGGCCCGCCCAGCTCACCCCACTTCCTCCGGTGCCCCCCTCTGTCCAGGGGCTGCCCTAGGCCCCGCACCCCAGCCCCCGGCCACGCCACACCCGACGTCACGGCTGCCAGAAGAAGCCAGAAGAAGGGGGGCCAAAGGCGCCTGGGCCTCTGCCTGGAACGCAGCAAGAAGGGGGCCACCTAGGTGGCCACCCCAGCCCGCCCGTCCGCCTGGCCTCGGCTCTCCAGGGCCTGCACGGCTCTCCCCAGCCCGGCTGCAGGAGCAGGAGCAGGAGGGCTGGGGTGGCCGACCGGGCGGCGTTGGCTGCAGGGGGTGGGGGCAGCCTCAGCGGCCCACATTGAGCCGCACGGGGGACCCTCCCTCTGGCCAGGAGCGGGCCCCTGGGGAAGGGAGCATGTCCGCGGCCGGGAAAGCCGAGCCCCGGCCTCGGAGGACAAGGCGCAGACATGGACGCCGGCCTCGGAGGACAAGGCGGCCCCGCTCACACCTGGCCCTGCCCGGCCTGCATCACCCCCAGCGCCTCTGAGGCTGGACAGTAACAAAGCTCGGAGGGGCCGGAGACACGGCGGCGGATCTTTCCTGGCAGAAGCGCCCGGGGCTCGGAGCATGCAGGCCGAGAAGCCCCTCGGGAGACGGAGCAGCGGACTCCTGGGGCCCAGCTCGGACGGCAGAGACAGGCTGGGGTTCGCCGGGGCCGGGACAGACACGGGCAGGCGGCCGCCAGCGCGGGCGGGAGGACCCACGCAGACACCCCATCCCTGCCGCCAGGAGGCCCCGGACCTGGGTCCTCACCCCGCCTGCCTGCGTCGCCCCAGCTGCTGTGGGGCTGGACACGAGCAGGGAGGGGCAGGACAAGAGCTGCAATGGCCACAAATGGTATCTTAACACCCCGCCGGACAGGACGCCCGGACAGGACGCCCCGACCTGCAGCCCCTTCCACCAGACACGGCTCCACCCGCACGCGGCCGGGGACCCCAGCATCGCCCGGGCCCAGAGCCGGCACCCCAGGGCCCCCACCTGCCAGTGCGCCCCTGGCCAGCCCGAGGCGGCCCAGCCGGGCACGGGCCACCCCTCTCGGTCTAGAACAGTCCAGTATTGCACTTTACGCAAAAAAAAAAAAAAAAAAAAATTGCATTTTACTAAAGACCCCGCGTCGCATCATCCGTCAGTGCTCGGCTCCCGCGCGCTCTGGACTCGGGGAAACAGCGCCAAAGTCCACTCGGGAGCCCGCGCGGAGCGGCGGAGCGCGTCCTGCTCTGTGGCACAAGGGCCCCGGCTGCGTGCCAGGCTCCCCGGGTGCGGCCCCTGCGCAGCTGGCAGGAGGGTGCGTTCCTTATTGCTGCCTTCGCCTGGGGGCGCAGAAGGGCGCCCCTGCGTGAGAGGCCACGAGTCCAGCCGGAATCCGCTGCCCCCCGCGGGTCCTGGAGGGCGACGCGCCGGCGAGGAGAAGGGTTCGCTGTGGCGAGCCCAGCCTGGACGGCGCGGACGCCCCAGCAGCCAGCGTGCGCGCGCGCGTGCGCCCAGGGCGCGGGCGCGGGGTCCGGCCGGCCGCGCTGGCCCGCGGGGAGCAGGTCCGGCGCCCCGGCCGCCGGGACTGCGGGTCGGGGCGCGGCGCCGTCTTGGGGGCGCAGCGGCGGCGGAGCGGGCGCTGCCGGCGGGCGGGTCAGAGGCCCAGGGCCTCCGCGTGCTTGCGCGCCTTCAGCCGCAGGTCGGCGATGCTCGAGTTCTTGCTGTTGCTCTTGGCCGCGGCGGCCACCACGGCGGCGGCCGAGGCGGACTCGGCCAGCGAGGCGATGGGCAGCCCGAAGGGCGGCGGCGGGAACATCAGGTAGGGCGCGTGCGCCGCCAGGTGCGGGTGCAGGTGCGGGTGCGCGTGGGCCACGCCCTCCAGCTGCAGCTGCGCCTGGACCTGCAGGGGGGCAGAGCCGGTGAGGGGCACGGCTGACCCCTCGGGCCCCACGCCGCGCCCCTGCGCGGCCCTCTGGACCCCCCAGCTCTGGGGTTCCCGAGTGAGCCTGGCACCACCTGCAACCGCCCCGCCCCTGCACCCCGGAGGCCTCGGGGGCTGCTGCAGCCTCGCCCGCCTTAGGAGAGCCGCGTGGAGGTGGACACACGAGGCCCGCCCTCGCCACCCCGGGGACTGCAAGCCGCATCCAGCGGACCCTGCGCTGGGCCTGTGGCCGACCCCGCCGCCCGCCCCAGAAGCCACCCTGGCCGTGGAACTTGGCTTCAACGAGAGGAAAATAGCGCAGGGAAGAGGCGGGTGGGGGTCCCCAAAGTGGACCCTGGGCAGCCGCCAGCCGGCGGGGAGAGGCTCAGCCCAGAGCGCACCCAGGCTGCGCCCTGCCCCCGCGCTCGCCAGAGGCCAGGGCTGCCCAGCCACCTCGGCTCGGCAAACACAGCTCCAAATATAGCCGGCTCGGCCCTGCAGCCAAACAGCCCGGTGGCCACACCTCCCTCTGCCCAGCTCCCCCGCTCGCCCACGTGGGGACCCGCAGGCACTTGGGGTCCCGCCCAAGCCAGCCTGGCTATCTCCCCCAAGGGCGCTCAGCCCCTTCCTGCAAGCAGGTCTCACCCCAGCAGGGGAGGGGCCCTTGGGGACCTGCAGCGCCGGCTGCGCCCCTCTCTGCTCCAGTGGCGCGCAGGACGCGCCACTCCCCGAGGCTGCAGGGCCCCCACGGACACAGCGCCCCAGCACAGGAGGCGCAGGGCCCCCAGGAGGTGGGGGTCCCGCTGTGCGCCCTGCTCCCCGCCACCCCGAGTCCCGCCCCCAGCCAGGCTGGTTCCTGGGTGGGATTATTTTCCTCCGGAGGAGCTCGTTCAGGGGCGTTGGGGTTTATGTCCGCGCCCTCCCGACGGTGCGTCCTGGGGTTTTACAGCGTGATTTTAAGACGTGCCAACGGCCCGTAAACGCGGCCTGTGAGCGCGCCCGGCCGGCCGGCCGGGAGGGGCGCGCGGGCGGAGGGAGGCGCGCGGGGGGCGGTACCTGTTGGAAAGGCATCCGCAGCGCGCCCATGTTCACGTAGGGCGCCACCCGGCAGGCGTCCAGGTGGCTGGCGGTGCCCAGGATGACGCCTGCAAGAGACACAGCGGGGTCAGCCGCGCGCGGGGGCGGGGCTGGAGGGCGCGCGCCCCGCCGCCTGCGCCCCGTACCCACCTTTGTGCATCTGGTTCTCCTGCTTCCGGCACTTGGCTCGGCGGTTCTGGAACCAAACCTGGGGACCGGGCAGCAGACAGACGCGGGGGTGAGGAGCCGGCGGCCTGGCCTGGGGTCACCCAGCCCCAGTGTCTCTTCCCCCCAAATCCCTCTCCCACAGGTCCCTGGGCCCAGAGGGACTCCAGGGCCCCGGTGAATGCCCCCCAAGCAGCACGGGGCACCCAGGAATCTAGAGGGGAGCTCTGGGTGCAGCTCCCCACCCGCTCTGGGGCGTCCCGTTCCAGCCTCGCACCCCAGGCCAGTGCCAGCCTCGTCTCCAGGAGGGGACACATGGGGAAGGCGAGATGCAGCCCCCTCCCCAGCTTGGGGGGTCCTGGCTCCAGAGACTTCTCTGTGATGCCCTCCTGGGCAGCCAGTTCTGAGCAAGGCCCCATAAGCACCCCAATAACCAGGCCCTGGTCACTCCCCGCAGAGCCCCGCAGGGCAGGAGGAGGGAGCCTGGGCGCGGCCGCAGGAGCTTGGGAGTTGGAGCACAGGCTTCCCGGAGAGGGGAGAGGCCCCTCCTGTGTCCTCCCTGTCCAGGCAGCCCTGGTCCTGGGGAGGCCCTGCCGAACCCCACCCCCGTCCCTCCATCCTCTCTCCTGGCTCCTCCAGCTTCCCCCGGCGCAGCCACGCTGGCGGCCAGTGCCCAGGAGAACGCAGCCCGCTGGGCAGTCCCAGTGGCCTGCCCTCACGCAGGCTCCCCCCCCCCCCCCCCCCCCCGGAGAGCACCCCAGGGAGATCAGAAGCACCCCTGAAACACCCCAGACTGCAAACAAGCCTCCTGGGAGGTGTCCGCCCCACTCTCTGGACTCAAGCGCTCCGAGGGGAGCCACTGCCCCAGGACCGGAATCCGCCTTCCAGAACATGCACGGCTCACCCCACCCCGCTGCGGGCGGGCGGCCCGGAAAAGTTTTAGGGTGCGCCCTGGAGAAGTATTTCCCCCAAACGAGCCTCCCTCTCCATGCCCAGACTCCTAATTTTTTTCCAGCCCCAAAGCCTGGACCTTCTTGTCCCACTAAGCTGTGTCCCCCGGGCGGGCTGAGGCTGCGTCGCCCAGACCCTCCTGACCCCGAGCCTGTTCTCGGCCCCAGGGACAGTGGACCCCGGTCTGTGCTCTCCGCCCCGGGACAGTGGACCCCGGTCTCTGCCCTCCGCCCCGGGACAGTGGACCCCGGTCTCTGCTCTCTGCCCCAGGGACAGTGGACCCCGGTCTCTGCTCTCGGCCCTGGGACAGTGGACCCCGGTCTCTGCTCTCCGCCCCGGGACAGTGGACCCCGGTCTCTGCTCTCTGCCCCAGGGACAGTGGACCCCGGTCTCTGCTCTCGGCCCTGGGACAGTGGACCCCGGTCTCTGCTCTCCGCCCGGGACAGTGGACCCGGTCTCTGCTCTCTGCCCAGGGACAGTGGACCCTGGTCTCTGCTCTCGGCCCGGGACAGTGGACCCTGGTCTCTGCTCTCCCCCGGGACAGTGGACCCTGGTCTCTGCTCTCTGGCCCCAGGGACAGTGGACTCTGGCCTCTGGTCTTGGCCCCTGGGAGAGTGGACCTGGTCTCTGCTCTCGGCCCCAGGGACAGTGGGCCCCGGTCTCTGCTGTTGGCCCCAGGGACAGTGGACCTGGTCTCTGCTCTCCGCCCTAGGAGAGTGGACCTGGTCTCTGCTCTCCATCCGGGACAGTGGACCCCGGTCTCTGCTCTCCACCCCGGGAGAGTGGACCCTGGTCTCTGCTCTCGGCCCTGGGACAGTGGACCCTGGTCTCTGCTCTCCGCCCCAGGACAGTGGACCCTACCTGGTCTCTGCTCTCCATCCGGGACAGTGGACCCTGGTCTCTGCCCTCGCCCCCCAAGAGTGGACCCTGGTCTCTGCTCTCCACCCCAGGACAGTGGACCCCGGTCTCTGCTCTCCACCCCAGGACAGTGGACCCCGGTCTCTGCTCTCGGCCCTGGGACAGTGGACCCTGGTCTCTGCTCTCCGCCCCAGGACAGTGGACCCTACCTGGTCTCTGCTCTCCATCCGGGACAGTGGACCCCGGTCTCTGCTCTCGGCCCCGGGAGAGTGGACCTGGTCTCTGCTCTCCACCCCGGGAGAGTGGACCCTGGTCTCTGCTCTCGGCCCCGGGAGAGTGGACCCTGGTCTCTGCTCTCCATCCGGGACAGTGCACCCTGGTCTCTGCCCTCGCCCCCCAAGAGTGGACCCTGGTCTCTGCCCTCGCCCCCCAAGAGTGGACCCTGGCCTCTGCCCTCCGCCGCGGGACAGTGGACCCTGGTCTCTGCAAGGGCTTCCAAGCCAGACTCGTGCCCAAGTCTCAAGACCCGCTCCTTCCCTTCAGCGGGGAGGGGAGGAAAAAAAAATAAGATTATGAAGAATAAAAGTGATGAATTAGCCGGCGCGTGACGCGCTAATAAATCAGTCTTGGGGTGATTCTCGATCAATTCCAATTAGCCGAGAATATGCTAAGTGAAGCCGAGGACACTGCTTTAGACAGTTATTTCTTCATTAAGGACCCGCTCCCCGATCCCGTCCGCAAACGCCGTAATCGCATTTCCTTTTGATTTCCATTACAGACAGTGAATAATGACATTTAATTTAGCTCCGCGCCGCAAACCCACAGATATTTGTTGTAATTAAATTACGGCTGCTCCACACTCGGGCTCATAACTTTCGATTAGAACCCTGACAGCTGCGGAGGCCGGGCCGGGCGCGAAACAAAAGGTTAATAAGCCGCGGCACCGGCTGCGCAATTTATTTACGGCGCGTTTCCACCCCAAATTGAAACCCGGCCCTTGCACGACGCGGGGACGGGGCTGTCCTGGCCGGACTCGGGGCGCCTTGGGGGGCAGAGCCTGGCCCCGGCCCTGCGCCCCAACCCCAGCGCCCCGGGTTCCGCTAATTGTTTTTATCAGCCGTGTCCCCCTGGGCCCCGACCCCGGCCCCTTGGCGGCCCTGGTGGCCGAGGCGCTCCGGGAGTGCGCGCCTCCCTCCGTGTTTATTTTTATTATTATTTACAGGCCTCGGATTTTAATTCCTGCTGGGATCGATAGGGCCGCCCCCCCATCCCCTGCGTTTTCGGGTTTCTGGAGGCCCCACCGAGCAATTTCGCGGCAGCAGCACCTCCTGGAAGGTGCCGGGTAATAGACTGCGGAAAGAAATAGTGTGGAATTGAATTACAAGTAATTTATTTTTATAGAAACACTACATCAAGGCCGGGAGATATTGCAGCGCCGGCCGGAGACGCACGTCGAGGCGACATAAAAGCGCGTGTCCCCTTCAGCGAAAGTTTAATCTTTTCATTAATTTGGACGGGGAGAGGCTAATGGATCTTCGGGGAGGGGCCGGGCTCGCTGGACGCGGCGGCCACGCGGGCAGCAGGACCTGCGGGCTCCGGGGCGGGCGGCACGCGCGCCCCAGCTCCCGGAATCCCCGGGCCGCCCCGTGTCCAGATCTCCCCTCCCCAACCTCGTCGCAGCAGCCGGGAAGGTGGCAAAGGCGGGGAGCAAGCGCGAGGGTCTTTCGCCCCAGAAATCGATCCGGCGCCCGCGTAAATAAATAAAACCTTCATAAATAAAACCGGGGAGAGGCCCGAGCCGCGCTGGCGGGCGCGCCCGCCCGCTGCAGCCCTTTGTTTTCCCGCGGCCCCTCCCCGCCTGGCAAAATTAATTCCATTTATTTAAAACCCGTCCCCAGAGGCCCGGGACCCTGACCCCTGTCTCTTGTCCGCGGCGCGCAGCCCCGCGCGCAGCCCCGCGCGCAGCCCCAGAGGACGGAGCCGCCGGTCTCCCGTGCGCCCGGGCCGCCAGCCCGGCCCCGGCGCCCCGGAGGACGCGCCTCCTCGCCGCCTTCCCCCGCGGCGGAGGAACAGATTGACGCCGGCTGAGCGCGCCCCGAAAGGGGGCTGGGGTGTCCGCCGTCCGCGCCGCGCCCGCCCCGGGGCCCGCCGACAGAGGCGGCCAGATGGGCGCCGGGACGCGCGCGCGCCAAGCCCGGCTAATCCGGCCCCGCGCGGGCAGGAGGCCGCTGCCGGCCCCGGAGCCTCCCGCGCCCGCGCGCCCTGCCCGCGCCTACCTGCACGCGCGCCTCCGACAGCCCCAGGCGCTGGCTGAGCTCCTCGCGCATGAAGGCGTCGGGGTAGTGCGTCTCGTCGAAGAGCCGCTCCAGCTCGTTCAGCTGCTCCAGCGTGAAGTTGGTGCGGCTGCGCCGCTGCTTCAGCTTCGTCTGCCCGTCCTCGTCCTCGGACTTGACGTCCTCGCGCTTGTCCTTACACTCGAAGAGGCCTGTGGGCGGCACCGGGTGAGCGCCCCGCGCGCGCAGCCCTGGCCCGGGGGGCGCCCAGCTGGGGCGCAAGGCAGGGGCCGGGGCGCAGGCGCCCCAGCTGAGGGAGCCGCGCGCTCTGTAACCAAAACAGTGGCCATGGCGGCCGGGGCGCCTGGGGGTCATCTCCGAATATTCGCCACAATTATCCACTTCGTGAGGCGCACCGTCTCTGCTCTATTTTTCTTTTTCAAGGGGGTTGGGGCGTTGAATGTTATTTTTAAGTCAAACAAGCCGAGGCAGGATTCCCCGAGTGCGGGGTGCCCAGCGAGACACCCACAAGGGGCGTGGAGAGGGCGCAGGCCACGCTGAGGCCCAGGCCCACGGAGAGAGGTGGCACAGGCCCCACGGCGGGTCCTCAGACCCCACCCTGGTCTCTTCTCACCCGAGCCAGCGGCTCCCCAGCACAGAGCGCCGGGGGTGTCCGGGCCGAAGCCCCCAGCTGCCCGTGCAACCTCTCTCCCTTCACACCTATCCGGCCTCCCGTCCCCAAGTCCAGCGTGCAGGTATCTGCTGGGGGAGGAGGCCCCTGAGCAGCAGGTAATAAAGAGCTTTTCAGCGTCTCCAGATCGAGAAGATTCCAACCCAGAAACCTCCGCTCACCTCCAGGAAATGGAGCCACTCACCAAGCTCAGGGGGAGATCAGGGAGGCCTGTGTTGCTTTCCCGGGCTCCTGCCCCCCACACGGGGACTCTGGGTGCCCGTGCTCCGTGCCCCCAGGATGTCAAGAAGCCCCCCAGTCCCTAGGCAGGGACCCAACAGCAGACTTGCGGTGCACAAGGCCGGAGGGTCAGCCCCTCCCGTGCCAACGGGCAGCGGGGGATTCTGGTGCTCTGCCCCCACCCCAGTGTCCCGGACATGGACACCAGGAGCCAGGACCCCTCCCCGGTGGCCCCAGAGGCTGTGATCTGAGCTGATCCACACCTGGGACCCTAAATCTTGTTTCCAAGAACCCCCGCCTCTTCCCACAGAAAGTCCTTCCCGAGAGGGGCCCACGCTCCCTCCCCCGTCACTTTCCCAAAGTTGGAGCCCAGGGGGGGACGCTGCCTGCACAGCCTCTAAGTCCTGGGCTGCTTTGCAGACTCCACCCCAGACTCGGCTCCCGGGACAGGCTTCTTGGAGAGCCCTGGGGTGCCCAAACCTCCCTTCTGCGGCCCCCCGCAGCAAATGCCAGCCTGGGGCTGCACCCGCAAGGGCTGCCTGGCCAGGGACGGCGCCTCTGGGACGTGGCCAGTGGCCTTGGGGCGTATTTTCCCCCACCCCCACCCGGGCTGTGCAGGGCAGGACACGCAGAGGACATGCCGGCCTGCGGCTGGGGGGCGCAGCAGGCCAGGAGCCAGAAGACTTTTCCTGGCCACAGTGACCCCATTGGAGTTAAAGGGGGGGGGCCCCCGAATGTTCTTCACGGGGCTTCCCAGGGACCAACTCTCTTTGTGTGGATTGGGGTGCAGGCG